CATTTGGTGGGTGCATGTGTATGTGTGCCTTGTGTAAATTTACTTTATATATGTGCGCTTGCCTTATTTACTACCAATACTGTCATTCAAGCTGTTGATGCTTGCTGCAGCTTGTTTTTGTCGTTCGCTCATTCGTTTTGACGTCTATCACATTGCATTGCGAAGTGTTAGAAATATGTCAAGAACGGAAAGGTAACACGAGCATGGCTTTCTTTCTTTTTTTTTGTTCTTCTTCTTCGTGTCTTTTTTTTTCCCTTTAACTCTACCAAAAAAAAATACTGTCTTGTTTGTATCAAACTAATTCAATGATAAGTTTCGAAAACTAATAATATTCACATTATGAGCTTATTTATAAACGAGATATATGTATATATATATATATATGAATTTGTTTTTCAAACATTTTATTATTATATATGTACAGGTGTGATGAAAAGTTTAAACAGAATAGTTCATGTGCACTTATTTCAATATATCATTAGCCAAAACGATAACCATTTGATTTCTATTGACTTTCTCTCACCCCATTAAACATATGTGAACATTCTTTATGATCGATTACTAAGCAAAGACATTATTACTCTGTTGGTGATTGCCGGTCGATCGTTAACTCTTTCCCTCTCGCGAGCGAGCTCTCTCTCTCTCTCTCTCTCTCTCTCTCTCTTTGCTCGATTGCCTATTCGATTTCCCATTACGACTCGTTCATCGCATTCTCTCATCATTTAGAAAAGAGTTGAACTAGACCAAGCTCGTTTATTTCATCGATTGAAATGTGAATCGTAGTCTATACATCTTAATATACCAATAAGTTGAACCCTAACGAGTAAGTTTAAATGAAGATAAAGACATACATTGAGCTGAATCGAGTAAATATATATATTTAAGTTATCTTTCGCTTTTTTTTTTCTTTTGACAGCATGAGCTGCTTTCCTTTCTCTTAATACACCGCACGCAGTCATGCACAGAATAGATATGTATATGAATACATCAATGTATACATATATATTTATATAGCCTCTGTGTATATGGACTTATTGGCAGGAGACCAAGTTCGTATGAATATATGTTTGATCGTTCGGCTTTTTTTTTACTTGTTATCTTTTTTTTTTCTTTTTTGCGTATTACATACAATCTGTCAAACATCGAGTTATACTATGTATATGTGTATTTATATATATATATATATATTTATACGACGCATATATACTATTTTATAAAGAAACAAAAAGTTTTGAAGAACGAACGAAAATGTGTTCGATAATCTATTATTTTGTTTCTTTCTGTCCTATTTTGGCATAATGCCAACAAAGAGAAACATGCGTATTGAATGTATCTGTTTTCCAAAACTACGATGCTGTGAAATGATGGATATATGTGTGGATGTATGTGCTTGTACATCTGATTTGTTTCTATTCTATTCTTTCTTTTTCTTTTTTCTTTTTTTGCTAGAGTAATACTGCCCAGTGATTTGTATGTGCGTATGTGTCTCTTCTCCTCCTCATCATCTTCCGAGCGCACAGGAAGTGTGCAAAAAAAGATTAAATGAAAAAAGAAAAAGAGACTTAGAGAAAAAGAATAAAGGAATACACACATACACATAGAGAAAAGAAAAGACAGAGAGAGGGAGAGGGAGAGAAAGCGATTTCTATAGTAGTTGCAGTACTAGTAACAACGCGGTGCCACTTGTGACGTGTGTGTCTTAGTACATATACAATTATTATTAGAGGTAGCGTATATATATATATATATATATATATTTATACATCTGAGGCACTTATCTTGTCAAAGGTAACGATAAATATACTTGCTGTAACAGATGTTACTTTGACGTTTTGTCAATGATCTATCTAAAAAATTTCTCTACGGTTAAATCTAATATTTGCTCATTACTTTGTTATACTTCATAACTCTTGTTCTCTCTCTCATACTTTTTCTCTCTATCGTGTACTTGGCGTTTTTTGTTATTAGAAATTGGTTTGCTCTCTCGTTCGCTTGCTTCGGTTGTTGTAGTAATGTAAGGAGTATGTGTGTGTGTGCATGCGTTCACGTTGTTTTCAGACATACAAAGGCATGCCGCAGCCCGCGATGACGGCGACGACGGCAACTATTATACTACCACGAATGAATATATAAATAGAATAAGAGAGAGAGAGAGAGAGAGAGAGAGAGAGACAGGGCGAAGAGAGAAAACGAAGCAATAGTGTAGTGTGAGTTGTGCATAGTAAAATTGTCAAATTGATTTCGTGGGTGCATACATGCACATATAAACTTGTCTACTTTGATTGAGGTTATTTATATACTTCGAAAGTTTATAAATATTAAGAGAATGATTTGTGATAGGTTTTTTTTTAACTTTATTCTTTTACCGTTCTGTCATTTCAGAAGTTTTATTTAAAAAAAAAGTTTTATATAGAATTTATGTTCTTATCTTATGATGACATAACCTTTTCTTTTCTTGTAATAAATATGTTTATTTATATTAAAAATAAACCAGAAAAAAATTTGCTTTATATCATACCGAGTTACGCCTCTTCTTGTTATGACTATTCTTTCTATCTGTCTTCTTCGATGTCTTTTTTTATCGTTTATTACTTCTGTTGTTACCAACTAGCAACAATATATATGTTTGTCATCTTCATTACCCAGTCAATCCGATTCTGATTTATCTTTATATCTTTTTTTTTTTGTATTCATTTTTAGATCTAAATAAAGAAAAAAAAGAACAACCGATGTTCATGGACGGTGACAACTGACCATCAGTTTACACTCGTCTCATTTTTTTTTCGTTTACCAACTGGTCGAGTTGATGGTATTTTTTCCTATTACTAATAATATTTCTAGTCTTTGTATTTGATAATTAAATGCAAGAACGTTCATATACATTGCCAATGTGTTCTGTCGGTCGTACATCACACGTTCCATCATCATTAGTAAATGTTTCAATTGATACTCATCCATCATTGCCAATCATGCCGAATGATATTGAAACTAATATTGAATCATCAACGTCAACACCAGAATTGAATCTATTATTGGTAAATAAAAGAAAAACAAAAAAAAAAGAAAATCTATTTATATTAATCGTTGCTTTGTTTTATTTTAATTAGGATAAATTAACTGAAATACTTCGATTTCGTTCGGGTTGTCGTCGACATTTTGGTGTAATACAACAACAAAAAGAAGTACCATCATCATCATCATCATCACAATCAACAACAATAACAAATTTAAAACGTTTACAATCGAGTAGTATTGAACCATTACATCATACTGTCGATGTTTCGTCAATACCATTAAATAATTCATCAATATCAACAGGTTCATGGAAATCAACTAATATTCATTATAAATCATCAATATCAAATCGTTTTCAACATCATTATCATAATAAATATCATACAAATTTATCAACAAATATAAATAATTTTGAAAAAAAACGTCGTCTACCAAGTTTATTACAACGTTTAATTGATGAAGGAAATTTAATAAAAGAAGCTGTACGTCGTCTTAAATCACAACGTTTTTCACATACATTTAAATTACAAGAAAAACAAAATCTTATTAATACACCATCGACACCAACAATTAAATCATCTATTGAAACACAATCAAATATAATATCACGTTTAACACCATCATCATCAATAAATATAACTATACCTCAACAATTAAATGATTCATCTCCAATACAAACAACATCATCACCAAATCGTGGTATATCATGGTTTTTATCATCAAGTGTATTTGGTGTAAATGCATCAACAACAAATCATAGTAGTAGAAGTGGATCACCACATCGTACATATTATTCATCGAGTACATACGATCGAACACCAATGGAAGTTGGTATTCATGATGTATAAAAAAAAAATCGACTAATTAACCAGGTGAAAAAAATTTCAATGTTTGTTTGTTTGTTTTTTATTATGAAAAAAGAAAAACGCAATATATCACTTGTTGCTTTATTTGTTAGTTTTTTTTTGTTTGCCTTAATGAGTAACAGACAATGTCTGTCAAGTATTTGTTTCGCTCTTCTCTATGCCCGGCATGTGTTCGTTTCGTGTATTTGGCTATTGACTTCCCCTTTTTGTTTTATTATCTTCATTGACCATTAATTGGTTTTTGTTTGTTTGTCGAACATACATGATTATATAAAAATCCCTGCTGAGCGAATTTTCTCACCGGTTTCTTCTTCTCATTTATCAATTTTATTACAGAACATATATATATATATATATCTATATATGTATGTATACATTCCTTTTTCTTTTTCGTTTACTGTTGTAAATAACATTGCAAACTATACCAGCATTTTGATTTTCTGTAATTGTTAATACTGTATCTGAATTTTTGATAACAGTAAATCAGTATTAGCTTGTCATCATCATCATCATCGTCATGTATTTGTTTGCTATTACCTGTAATAATCGATTATATAACATAGAAATGAATGAACCGGTTTTTTTTTTGTTGTCATTATGGAAAGAGTTAGTCACTTTCGATGTGTGCGCCTCTGTTCACTTCATATCTCAGGTATTGATCGGGTTCTTTTTTGTTAGCTTGCTTCTTAATTAATGTTATTATTGTTGTTTTTGCTCTGCTGTTTTACTTGTTCTCATAAATAACTCTTTGTTTTTCTTCATTTTTTTTTTGTTTTTTGGTACTATTTTATCTCTCGTTCGTCTTTGCTTCCGCGCGAGTATAAACATGGAGTTTTTTTTTAATATTGTATGCAAGATAATATATGTATTGCATACTAGAAATCAAAGAAAAGATATTTAAAAAATTTATTGAAAAAGAAAATCATTAATATGTGGTTTTTTCTCTATTACAATTGATTGGATTAGGATACAAAAGAAAAAAAGGGAACGGATGTTGACAGATGATCACCATGTATACCTACACATGCAATGTATTGTATATATGGATCATGTATATTCATTGTCGAATTGGATCAAAGAATAAAATTAGACAGACGAATTGAACAAGAATAGAATAAATCATGTGAACTTTGTCTTTGTATACTCTTTTATCTTCGGTGAATGATTGACATCATTTGTATCAGGACGATCACGATAACGAGTTCCGCATATTAGATCCCATAGTGGCCAATAGAGACCATAATTAAAATTGTGTAAACGACCTTTACCTACATAGATAAAAAAAAAAAAGAAGAATTTAATGTCATCACATTATCATAAGTAAATAGAAACATTACCTTTATTATGATGAGCATAATGATGATTTAAATCTCCTAAACGTCCATCATGAGCAGCAACTAAATATAAAATGAAAATCATTTGATTCAACAGATTAAATATAAATCGACTTACTAGCAAAACATGAAGTAAATAAACCAAAAAATGCTAATGCAATAGGATGAACAGGTATAACAAGTGCCGTTAAATAATGACCCACCGGACCTTGTTTTTTTTTCGTATAGAAATTAAAAAAAATTCTATTTTATCACTAAAGATAATATATTATACCTTGCACAAGACCTTCTAATGGATGAACAGCATCTTGACAAAAAGCTGATGGATATTTAAAAGCATGATGAGTTGTATGAATTTTATCCCATAAATATTGTGATTCATGTAATGCACGATGTGTCCAATAAAACCATGAATCAAATATAAAACCATAGACAAGAGCATTTAAAATTAACCATAATAATGTATATTTATTATTAACAAAATAATTTGTTGTCCATAGATATGGTTCAATAAAATACATCCATCCTACAGCATATGTTGTATTCCCTAACAAAAAAAAAAAAAACAAGAACATTCTCTAATTCATGTTTCATTTAATTTTACAATTGTTTGAAAAAAGTATTGAAGTCATATATACATACCAAACATAGCACCAGTGCTTAATAGTAATTCTTTTCGTACTTGTCTTTTTCGTTGTTGTCGTTGTTCAATAGTTAATAAATCTGATTTAAAACCTCGTGGATTTGTATATTCTAATATTCCAGCTGTTAACATATATTGTAATGTATATGATGCAAATACAAATATATTAACAACAAGATAATCATTAAATGATGTCATATCAATTAAATGTTCCGATAAAATTCTATTCATTTTAATATAAGGCCAACTAATTGCTGATATTAAGGATAAAAATGATAATAATCCAATAATACATGATCCAATATTATCTTCAATAGCAGCTTTGAAATTTTGTCGATCCGGTGGAAAATCTGTTATACTTTTCATGATGATATGTAGGTGAAAAGGTTATTAGATAAAATAGACAAAGTGTATATGATGATATATATATATATATATATTATTTCATATCAGAAGACTTAAGATAAATATTAAAGTACGAATCAGAATTTAAGTTTGTTTTTAGACTAAAATTTGAAATGAATTGAATGATGTTTGAAATATATTACAAAAAAAAAGGAAATAGTACACTTACACTTTTTTTTTTTTTTTTTTTTTTGTTAATATTTAATCATTTATTCTTTGTTTTTCGTTTTTTATTAGTTCACCTTCTATCAACTGTTGAATAATAGATAGAAATCGAAATGAAGAACAAGATAAATAAAGAAGAACTAGGAATGATGAATAAGTCGTACTCTGCTTCTTTTGATTTACTTATTTCGACTATATATAATAATTCATTAACACGTGTCGTACTCTTTAACCGACAATGAAACATACTGTTTTTAAAAAACGAGGAAGAAAAAAAAACGACCTCTACTACATACAGTTTTCATTTATTTATATTTGAGCAATAATAATCATTCACAAATATGATCTTGTCTCTTTTTAAAAATCTTTATCCTAGTATTTTATCGATATTATCGCTTCCAGAGAAGTGATTCAAAACTTCGGTACGGTGTACACCTATTTTTGGGAGTACAGGTACATTGTATATGGTGTAATAACCTCAAACTTCAGGACGGCCAATCCAATTTTCGGAGAGGCAACACCTCCTCGACTTTTATACTGTATGAAATGTTGCTTTATCCGACTGTATTTTTTATTTTGTCTATTCCATGAATATATTTTTATTATTTCAGAAACAAGATATTAATTATCCTCTCCTCTGTATATTAGAATATTTCATCGGAATTATCATAATAAAAAGAAAAAGAAGCATTTTAACATTGATAATAAAGTATGAGTCTGTTCTTTGATAAGACATAACTAGTATTCAAAAAAGAATAACGATGTTTTAATATCTAGAGAAAGAAAGAAAGAAAAGAGTACTCTCATTTATTGTTAATGACAAAATTTATTTCAATGAAATCAAACAAATTTTAAACATATTATATTGAATTAAATTTCAACATATGTAAAACTAAAATTGAATAATATTTTATCAACAAACACAAATATTCTTTTACATGATTCATATTACTAGAAACTTTGTTTTCAAAGATAATTTCTTGAATATCACGCGCATTGTTTGACGTTAAAATGTTGATAGTATTGTGCTCAGGTGATATTTACTTTATAATCTTATTACTTACCACAAACTAAAAGTGCTAAGATATTTTTTGAGAAATAAATTCTAAATTCTCATTGTTCATTTGGATATTTAGTGTATTGTGATATAATCAACAGAGACAACATTGAAATCATCTTCTAAGATAGAGATAAAATTTATAATTACTTATGGAAGATACATAACTAATTTTTCATAATATTTTCATTTTTTTTTTGTATACATATGCAAAATTGTTTTCATGAATAGATCGAGTCAACAAAATTTAATTGTCATATTAGTTCTATTCATTTTTATTCACTATTCAACGTATTCTATGCATTTTTCATTCGTTTTTCTATAATCTTTGTATATCTACAAAGATGTCCTTCAAGTATTTTCATCTTAATAACATCCAACAAAGTTATATAACGTTATCTTTATAAAAATAAAAACTCATATTTCGTTGTATGAAAATAGATATAAATTCTTATGCAGATATCATATGAGAATCATACACAATATTTTAATTAAGACAAAGAAAAATACTCTATTCAATATAATCGAATATAATAATTAATCAGTTAGAGCCGTATTTGTATGCCTAAACCAGAAATGTTCATCGTGAGACCAGTGCAGTAGATGTTCTAACAATACTATCGTGGTAGGAATTTTTTTCTGAAAGATATTGCAAAACTATATGAATTTTATGCATGAAATTTTAGTGTCTATAAAACGTAAAACTTGGAGAGTCGATGAGTCTTATGGATATAGTAACAATAATTCTACTTCACTACAGTCACAGCAATAAAATTTGAAATCTCTTTTGAATACCATCGTAGTAGAGGCAAATTCTTTTGATAGCTTTTCGCAGAGTGACGCAGATATCTCTATCACAAACAAAAAATTCTTTACATAAATAAATGAAATATGATTGTTGACAAGAGATAGATGGTGTTATTTTGCAATAAAAGAAATTTAATTATACATTATTTTTCAAACCTCAGTGCGTTTTTATATGTCACTTTATGTCAAAATATTACTCCTTATAGATGTCGACATTTAGATTTATATTTTATTTACAATTTTCATGCATACAAATATTTTCTTAAGTTTATTATCGAAAGATTTTTTTTTTTTTTTTGTTGACAGAAGTGTTTGTTTATCTCCCACGAGCATTATCAAAGAGAATAGAGTAATAAATGTATGTTTCTAAAGAAGATTCATAAAAAAAGCAAAGATCTGTCAGAAGTTTCATAAATGCAAAAAAAAAGCATCGAAATTTTGAATACATGTCGAATTTACCTGCCAATCCAATAAGATTTATTTTATTTTTATGGTATATCATATCATAATGTTTCAGTCGAGCATGCAACTAGATGCTGAATTATACATCATGTATTCTTTTTCTCATTACTAATTTCATTCATTTAATATTTATCATCTACAAGACAAAATGAAATGTCTTGTCAAATTACAAGTTCATTTTGGTTTTTACTTTGATTTTTATCAGCAACAAAACAAAATGTTCTATGACATTATAATGTAATCATCGTGTTAATTATGATGAGTTTTTTTTTGTTGCAAATAATTACTGATCTATTATTATTATGAAGAAGTTATTGCTGTATCAAATGCTTTATGTTTATGATGGAATCAGTGGAACTATTTCAATGAGTCATTTATTGATATTTACAATGATTTCGAGTTTCGATTAAATGATATTTACTTATATTTCATAAGTAATTCATGTCAACAAGAGGAAAACGAATAATTTTCTTAGAATACTTATGTTGATTGATGATAAATTCTGTTTCTCTTTTTTAAGGAAGATTTTTTAAATTTTTGATAAGCTTTTGTCTACAATCCTGTTATTTGAATATTTGATCTGTTCTTACAGGATTTGATTTTCTAACTAATATTCTTTTGCTAATGATTCTAACTAGATTGCTTTTGAGTTTCAATCGACTGCAAAATGTGATGGTAAAGCTTCCAATGTTGATTGATGGATAGATCAATATTTTATAAAAAACGAATAATCGTTTCAACAATTGAATATAAAACTCTTTTCTCCGAAAGATAACCACGCCATACAGAAATCAAGGCTTCTTGTTTGTCACTTTAAATTGAAAAAAAAACTATATTTTGTCCAATCAGATAATCGAAGTCAGGTAGAAACTGTGAAGTAGGTAATATGATTTAAATAAATACTTTCGATTGATCACTTGATTCTCTCCCTAATTCATTAATGATCATCGGGTGTATTCACAACTGTCTTAGCTATAATGAAAAAGAGTGGAGGCTACCTTTTATTGTTGTCTTTGTTTTAATAATCTCGACGCTTGAAAAGAAAAATAAAGTTCACAAAAATTTGTTTTGTTTTTTTTTTGGGTGGCTTCCTGTAAGATAATGAAACGAGCTATTGATGCTCTCATGAGGTTTCATTCTCGTGTTTAAAGGAAACTTTTTTCTGACTTTTGCTTCTTGAAATCATCGCAACTGAACATAACAACTTTTGATGCCTACGTCGAGAAAGACAGATAGGAACAACTTGCGAAGAACTTCATTTTTCTCATCAATGTTGATGTCAATCAATTTAAAAGGTCGTTCAAATATTTGTCATCATTATACACAAGAAGAAGTAATTATTCAAACATATTGTCGATGAACCATGGTTAAGCTAATCGTTCAAGATCAAAAAAGAAAAAAGTAACTCTTAATGGAACATTATCCAAATCACATCATACTGAACTTTGTATTACATTCATTACAGTGAATGAATCTGATGAAGAATCAATTCTTAGTCATGTATGTAAGGAGACGAAACTTTTCTTCGTTTGCTTTTCTAATTTTATTTCTTAATTAGATATTTGTGATTTAACTGATTGTGAACCGTTAATTGATACTTGACAAGAATTGATTCAAACTAATTTTATTAATCATATGAATAATGACACGTAAAATTTGTTAAGTAAATATTAAGTAAAAATTAATTAACGACTTAACAATTCATAATGATGAATAGTCAATGCTAAAGATATTTATTGAAAAGAAAATAAATATTGACTTAATATATTAACAAATATTTTTTGTTCGTTGTTTTATTTGTCATGGCCGAATAATTATTTTTTGTAATACTAATTGTTGCGCAACGTTGTTGAAATGAACAAAAATCATTTATTGTAATTTTGTACATTTGTAGAAAAGATTGTTTTGACTTTCTTTTATATTGATATTGATTTTTGATTTTTCTTTGCAGACGACTCTTGTGTCGAATGAAATCAAAGATTGATGCTGAATTGATGTGACGATTGGCTAAATAAAAACAATAAAGATCCAAAGTATTTTGGAAGACATAGAATTTCAAAAGGAAAAAATGGAAAAAAAATTTTAGTGATAAGAATTACGTAGATTAATGATAGATGTGAATGGCACGTTTTAAACAGAAATAACTTCGTCAAGACATTGCAATATCTAATATTTTTCCTAAATATTTGATTTGAGTAATGTATGAACTATAGTTAACATTTCAAAGACATTTCAAACGAAATTTACTTCAAGAAACGATCAGAAAGTTTTGGACAAATGTGAAGCTAGAAATTGACCAAGTGATTTTGATCAGATGACACTCGTACACTTCCGCTTCATTTCATAGTCGATCTGCGTACATATTTCAAAGTTTAACATAGCGGAAACATCAATGGAGTACTATCCAGTACCATAAACATATTTGAAATTTGTTTTCTTTTCATTGAATTTCCATTTGTTCATTTACTTTCAATAATCTATTGGAAGCATTGTTCATGAAGAGCACTAGAGTTCTTATAGAAAATAAAAAGTCATTTTTGAACTTTTCTGAAAGTAGTACAACAATAAGAGAAAAATCATGATGTTTCGCTTTCGCTCGAAGAGAAATTTCAAAGACAAAAAAAACGAATCAATATGCTTATTCTTTTGCGCCTTTCGCAACGATGTTCATTGTTGAATGGATCAATACATCAATTTTTGAATTCGAAATTATCTTATTTTATTGTTCAAGTAAATAGTACTCAAACGACCGAGATACAACAACGAAATTATAATCATTTAGAATGATCATAGTCACATGCTTTGTCCATTCATTATTCATTTTATGTCACAATGATACTACTGGACTAACGTTTTCCTTTTTTTAATTCCTTAATTATTTAATCTTTTTTTTTATTTTCTCTCATGTTAAATAATTAATTGATAGGTATATTCGTCTATATATAAATAAACAAATCAATCAGTTTTGAATTCCTATTCCAAAAACAGAAGGATCATCCTCTCCAATCGTATATAAAATCATCGTTTTCAATGTATTCAACCATTGTTCTTTTCTCTCATCGATTGAATGAATTACCCAGGTCGACGAATATGGAATTCGTATACAACCGTATTTTGACGTTTTACATGGTTCAGTATTACGATCGTATATTGCTGTGATCGTATACGGAGAAACACCGAACCAAATGAAGACCGTACACACCGACTTCATGTTTACGACGGTGCTTGTTTGATCTGGATATTTCTATGTATAGTTGAATTACTCTTTCTGTTCTAAATGTAACAGGATTCCAACTATAGATAGAAGTAAATTATTCAGTTCATAAACATTCTCTTTCTTTCTTTCTTTTCTTCTTGCAATAAACGATTGTTACAATGGAACAGAAAAATTAATTCATGCAATGAATTAAAAAATTATCGTTACTTTTTTTTCAGCCTTTTGGATAGCTCTATATTCGACACAAATAAACACTTCTTATTGACATACAATTATACTGTGAAGATCTTTTATTTACAACACATATTCATCATTTGGACATGTATTGGTTACTTTAGCGATGAGTATTGTCCCATTACATTCTCAATAAGACAGAATTTTTCGGTATGCACATGCACATATTTCTTCAAATCAAAACAAAAGAAAAATACACTTTTCTCTTCATCAAATTTATTTCTTTAAACAAAAAAAAAATCAATTACGTTTTCTTTTTCACGTATTCGAGGTTCTTTCGATATAATTGAATACGTGGATGATTTTGTAGGCAGAAAATGTTCAACTGTTTTAAGAGTTCGTTGAAAAAATAAAAGTGCATTCGAATAGTCATCGACGCTGTAATACACCAAACCAATGTTGTTGTAAGATGTAGCCGAATCGGCATCTGTTGATGAGGGAGTCTTCTGACGGATTTTATTTGATTGTTGATATTAGGCAATAGCATCTGCATATTCACCTTGTCCATCATTGACCATCTCGAGCCTATGACAAATAGTTGATTTTTTCCGATCAGTCGTTGTCTGATCAAGTAGGATATCATATATCTCTTGGGCTTTCTCGAATTGTCCAAGCTTAATTAGCAACATACTCAAACGATCTCATCCTTTCGCATAAAGATAGATCTCTTTTCGCATTTATTAAGTAAGTGCATGAAGTTCTGGACCATTGTCACTGGTCAATGTTAAATCAACTTGCCAGAGATGATTATTTCCATCGATTTGTTTCATTGATCCAATACGAAAGATGGAATGTATGGAGAAGAGAACTTCGCCTTCTCCTTTAAAATAACTAATATCACGGATGTTAGCAGAAGATTTTGACTGGATGGACGGATCAATGTTCATGAGGCATAAGATGCCAATAAGATCGAACGTTGTAATCGTTCGACCAACAAAATTGATGGATAGTTGACGGTGTATACTAGCCAATAAAAAATGATTGAATTATAAGAGTCCACCTTGTGTCTTTACCATTTGATCAAAGTCAGTCTTTGACAGTCCTTGACCACGATAAATAGTAAATGAATTCAATATTGTTTGTCCAGCAAACTGTTGAGCATGAAGCTTGACGATGTGGTTGGGGGACATCATTGATGAAAAATCCTATGCTTATGATGAGATTGATCTCCATCATTCGTAATAATCGATTGAACATCGAATACAAAAACACTGGCAAGTATACCATCAAATTGGAAGATGTTTGTGATATTTTTGCTCAAGTTTGTTGACGTGATGAAGTTGTTTCGAATTGTCGATGAAAACATCGCGACAGTACGTAAGAAATTTATCGATATGATGTTGTTCGAAAAGAATAATTAATAAAATTTTTTTCATTATTTGTGTATACATAAATGAAAAATCTAATTGATTGAGATTTGGCTCGTTGATATCACAATCAGTTTTGATAAAACTGATCGAAATCATGTTTTTGATCACATGCTTGTACCGCTTCTTGAAGACCTTCACAAATAGGAGCAATATCTGTAAAGACGCCTGTTATTTGTGGCTATTGATTGGCCCAAGCATCATGCAGAAACTTGGTTCTCACTCAAAATGTATATAGTATTGATGTGTGGAATATCATGGACGATGGAAGGAGTTGTTTGTCCATAGGCATAAGAAACGATCATAAATATTTTTTGTTCTTGAATATCGGTTATAAAATTGATGCATTCATTTACATCAGTGAATAAATGTATCTTGTTCACCACGTCTTTTAATTTATTGATAATATTGACACAAACGTCATTATTCATATCGTCAGTATTGACATCAAGTCACACCAGTATGAAGTTCTGAATTCTAAGGGCATAAGGAGGATGTCGTTGCCCTATGTTCATATGTTTCAATGGCGTGGCAGCAGCAGCAACAGTTGTTGTTGTTGACTTTGTCTTTTTGTCGATGGTGTGTGTTGTGTTTGATCAATGAAAAAAATAAAATAAAATGACTTGATTTTATATCGTATGTTGTAATTTTTTTTCTAGATGTTTCTATTTGTTTTCGATTATTGTTGTTGTTGTTCGAGTTCTTTTTTCTTTTCATTTCACTCAAGTACTTTAATACTTCTTTTTATCTGCTATGGCCTATGTTGTCATAAGATAACAAATCAATGAAAAAAAGATTGCAACATGATCTCATATACCGCGTCGCATTTCATTTTCTTTTATTATGTCTGGAGCCGTTCATCTCCTTTTCTTTATGTTGTTGTAGGTACAGATGTGGGTGATGGGAACATGCTCGATCACTACCGGCAACACAAACCTCCTTTTGACTGCTATTTGTAAGTCAACTGAACGTCCTCAAGAAGGTTGAAGAAAAAATTGTATCGGTTGGATCTCAATACTTTCACTATACGTTTGAACAAGTATTTTCTGAGTTTCCATTCTCGAGATCATCACGACACAAAATGATAACTTTTGATATGTACTTTGATAAAACGTCGCATAAGACTACATGAATACTATGCTTCGCACCGTATTTATTCTAGCTAATGCAGTCTGATAATTCAAATGGTGTAGAAAATGCAAAACCAACAAGAAGCTTCGCATCGAAAACGAAAATGAACTCTACAGTTTTTATCCATTGCAGTTCTCTACATCACCATGAGGTTTTCTTCGACGGTCAATGATTTTGTTTATTATCTTCTCAGTATCATCGATATCAGGTAACATAAAAGTGCAATATTTATTATCTATTCCTTACATAATCCTCATACTCCTTCCATTCATTTCATTAATTGTTCTACTAGATTTTTAAAAAATAATTTTTAAAAGACAGACAATCACCGTTGTACTTGAAACTAATCCTTCTCGAAGATGACATCTGTAAACATATGAAATTTTGAATTAGACAACATAAATATTGAAATATTGATTGTAATCATGATATAAATTTTCAGTATATATTTTGGAAACAGAATTTTTTTTCTAATAGATATCGTTATTCAAGATTAATTCATCCCTGTTCTATTTGTACTTATCGTATAGACTGAGAATTATTATAAAAGAAAATTAATAAATATGCCAGATTAATTTTCGTGAATGTTCTAACAAAATAGGAATGAATAACATGACAAAAAATTATTTAAAAAGTGATTTTTCAAAAGCCCTCATCAACAACAAAAACTATCATACGCAGAAAATTAGTTTTATCATACTGATAAACACAAACACATTACCAACGATATTTATTCATTTATGCTCTGAACAAAAGCATAAATTGATCAGATAAGTGTACCAGATAAATGTTCAATGAGATTTATGAATATTTCTTGAGTCCATATTTATTTGACAAAATCAAGAAAATATTTAAATTATTATATACGCACTAAATCATGAAAGTTAAACCAATGAAGACATATCTTCTCAATTGAAGAATAAAAAAACACAAATAAAAGAAATTCATTTTTTCATTGTGAAAATTGGTTTTAAAATAATAAGAATAATAATTAATTATTGATATTTTTCAATATTGTGATTTATTGTACTAGTTATGACTGACCGACATTTTTGCAGCGACACTTACGCATACAATTAATTTTTCCTGTTCTCTTCTTGTTTAATTAATCCAATTATATGACGTTCATGAAGCAAATGCATTACATAATAATTCAAAATTTCTATAGGCTTTTTTTCCATAGGAAAGATTTATCTATGAGATCTGTCAAAATATATCTTGGTTTAGTAAGTATACAAACTCTACTAAGCTATAGCCAGACCTATAAGAGTCTATCAAGTCTTGCTTCCTTTGCGTTATGTGCTTCTACTTTCACGCTTACTTGGCAAAAAATTATTTAATGCTTAAGTGAAGGCATGATAATATTATGTGCGGAAATGTTATGTCATGATAGTTTAGATATGAAAATATGGTAAGACCAGTGCATCACCCTACGTTATATTCTGAAATCATGCATTGACACGACAACGATCGTCATTACGATGATGATGATGATGATCGTTGTAATGACTGGTTTAACAACGGAAAATGATTATTAGTTTGACCGATGATTGTACAATTCTTTTTTGTTTTCTTTGTGAATTAATTTATTATCATAAATTTTCAAATGATAGTTTAAAAATTATTTACTACTCTATTCTTTGCTAAAATATTCGAACAAAATTTTTGATTTAATTAAAATTTCGTTTCTCAATGTAAAATGCTAAAAAATCATCAAATCTAATATGATTAGTCCATTAATCGTCTAAAGATCTGGTACATTTCTAAGACAAATGAGAAGATCATTATTATTACAGTCATCAAAAGAGTTATTGTTAACATTATTCATTGATATACATTATACAAATTCATATCGTCACAATAAGAGAATCTAGTTTTAGAATCTTTCAGTTCTACTTGATATTGATTCTTTGAACAAATATTCAATATAGTTTCTTTTTTTTTGAATTATTTTCTATGCCATATCAAAAAAGAAAATAATATTGAAATTTTTCTTACTAAATACCAACCACTATCTGATCTCTCTGTATGCGAATGAAGGATATTAAGCTTGCCTTTGAGAGATAGATCGCCTGATCTGTGTAGTTTTTCTTTCATGTTAAAATTTTAACTCATAAATTGAATGTATTTTTAGGAAATAGATGTAACTAAATTTATTTTTAAGGATGACATGTAAATATGAGGAATTAGATAAATATTTCAGAATGAAGATTCAAGATGCTTGTAATCTATCAATTCTATTAGAATTCTGGAAAGTTGATTACCACAAATTTTCATGTTTATTATTACTTTTATTCGTCATCTGTTTTCAATTCCAATTAATTCAACCATCGACAGTTTTTACCTGCCTAATTCGTTCAAAATGTTCTTGAACAAAAACCAAATTTTCTTTTCGCAATATTATACTGTCTTTTTTATTTCTTAATTCTTCTATATACCGTTGCTGTTCAATTCATAAATAGTAAAATCTATCATTTTAGACGCTTCTATACTGTGTACACTTCGTTATAGGGTACACTCGAAATCGATCGTTTCTTAGTGAACACCTCCTTATATTGAATTGTGAACCGATTGGAAAAATCTTCCTAAAGTGAAATTTTGTTTTTTTTTTCTTCGTTCGACGTCTAGTCTTATATACTCTAGTGCATGCATGAGACGGAAATATCTCTGTATAATGAACAATTTTAAATATTCCATTGAATGTTCATATTAGAGAATTTTTACTCTAGTCATCTAAATTGATTTTAGTGACTTGTTTGACTTTCTATGAAGCTTAATATTTAATTCAATTCTATTATTATCATGATATTGATATGAAAAACAAGCTAACAGGTTAGATCTGTTTGAATCTCTGACATGTGTCATATATATATATGAATATGAATAGTAGTCAGTTTCATAAATTTTCTCTTAATAATAATGGTAGTAAAAGAACGACTACATTATTATATTTTGCTATTTCTGTATTAAAAATCCTCTATATAAGTTCAATTTCATCAGTCAAAGAAAAATCACCATTTCTGTTCTTTTTTATTATTGGCTAAATTGGTTTTTACTGAGAAAAAAAAAAGACAAAATGACAAAATAAAAGGATTGCAAAATACATGTACATATTGCAAGACAAAAACAACTAAATTCTAGATTTGTCTACAGTAGTTTAAATAAAAAAATACAAAACAAAAATATTATTACTAATGACAAAAATAATATGTAGGACAAAAAATAACGGGAAAATAGCTGAATTATTTATTTATTTATTTTTTGTTGTTCATGAGAGTGAAAAGAATAATCACCTGAACAAATGAATTAAATCGGTAATTCAAATTGAACAGCTATTGAAGCTGATCGAGCCAAACCAACAATATGAGCGAGTTTAACTACCTAAAATAAAAATTAAAAAAAAAAATTCTTAGAAATAATCTTCTAAACATTAGCTTAACATTCTAATTATAATAAACATGACAATCTTACCAATCGAGCTCCATCATCCAAATCATCACAAGCAAGAATTCTACATTGACTATTTGCAATAATTGCTTTTGCATCATCAACTCGTGTACCTACATATACGTACACATAAAAAAACCATCAATTATACAACATAAATATAATAATAAAAAATTATTAACCTTGTAATCGTACAACTATGGGAATAGTTAATTTAAGTTCTTTTGCAGCTGCAACAATACCTTGTGCAATAACATCACATCTCATAATACCTCCAAATATATTAACAAATACAGCTTGAACCTAATCATTCTTAAAAATAGATTAATAACATATATGATTATTTTAACTTACTCTAGGATCAGCTGTAATTAATTCAAATGCATTTTTAACTTGTGAAGCTGATGCACCACCACCAACATCAAGAAAATTAGCTGGACTACCACCATGTAATTTAATAATATCCATAGTAGCCATTGCTAAACCAGCTCCATTAACAAGACATCCTATTTCACCATCAAGACCAATATAATTTATATTTGATTCTTGTGCTTTAACATCACGCCAATCACTTTGTGTATTATCTCTTTCATTGAATATAGCATTTTGTCGATATTCAGAATTATCATCCACATTAATCTTACAATCCATACCTATATCATATATATATATATAAGTAATTTCATTCGTTAAGAATGTGATTTTGCAAAATGAAAAATGCTTTTTTAGGCTACAAAATCTCTACGAAAAGTTTTTTCTGAACATACTTAGATTTTTCAAAAAAAAAACAAAACAAAGAGTTTATTTGTTGTTAGGGAAGTGAATGAGAACGAATATCGAAACGAAATACCATCTTATAACTGAATGAGAACTTTAAAAAGCAATTTTAAATGATGTAAACCTTCCCTTGTGGATCATAAGATGCTATCAAAACAAAAAAGTCTAATTGTAGAGCAAGAGCAGACGTCTAAAAAAGTGTTTTTTGAAGACCGATATTTGCTGAACATTTCATCATTGATATAGTTCATGGTGTAGTCGATTCTGAAATTCTTGAACTTTTTTTTTTTATTCTTGAGAAAAGAACTTGCTCAAAAAAAATAATCCTTATAAAGAATCAAGTTTATCATGTCCTATTTTTCCTGATTTTACCCATATATATAACACACATAAAAAGACAAAAACTTACAATATACTTTTCCATCAGCTGCTTCCGTTAATGGATTGATTTCTAATAAAACAATATCGTGAGTGATAAATAAATTGTATAATTTCAACATTATATCAGCTGCCTAGAAATACAAAACAAGATTTATTAATATAATGAAAAAAACAAAAAAAAAAAAACTTTTTTTTCTTTTTTAACCTCTTCAAGAGCGTCATTACGAAATTGAAGAATTTTAGCAATAGCCAATGCATCGTTGCGTTGAAGACCTTGTACAATATCAATTGGATGACGAATAATTGCTTCTGGATGTTCAGCAGCTATGGCTTCAATATCAGTACCACCTTGAGTTGATGTAATAATAACAGGACCATCGAAACGTCGTTCTAATGCCACTAGATAATATCATATTTTAATCTTAGATAAAAAGATAAACAAACAAATTTTATAATCTTACATGCAAAATAATATTCACGTCGAGTAAATAATTTTTCACACATAATTAATTTTGTAACAGGTTTTCCTTCTCGACCAGTTTGTTTCGTATATAAACGATGACCAAGCATTTTTGATGCTACTTGTTTTGCTTCATCAGGTCTAAAACAAAATTTTCTTTCTTTTACTTTTTTCTTCTATCAAATAAAATAATTATAATTCTTACGAAAAAATCATTTTAACACCACCTTTAAGTCCACTATCAAATACACCTTTACCTCGACCACCAGCAAGAACCTGAGCTTTCATTACAAGATCAGTACTAAGTTCTGAATAAAATTCAAAACAAAAGAATATGAATAATCAATAGAATAACATCATTGAAAACAAACCATGACTTGACGCAATTTGATAAACTTGATCAACTGATTCGGCTACACGATATTTTGGTACTCGAATACCTGCTTGTTCAAGTAATCCCATTGAAACATATTCATGAAGTAATAAATAAAAACGTTTTTGTGTAATTAAATTAGATTTTGTTGATGTTGATGCAAGCTAGAAAGAAAGATCAAATATAAATCAAATATTCTTTGTTTTTTTTCAAATAATATAATTTACTTTCAATAAGATATTTCGACTGAATGCCATTATTTTATTTTAAACTTTTTCAGGGCTAATTCTGGTTTATTTATTTAAAAATAATTCTTAATAGATTTTTGGAAAAGGTGACTTATTTTCTTATAGAACTGTTTTTCCCGTGTGGTAGCAAATATATCTTATTCGCTTTTATTACCATCAATCAAAAATCTTTTTATAAGAGGTCGCACAATGACAAATATATTCATAATAGAAAAGTATTTGGAACATCATTCAAAATAAACAAAATAGTTTTTGTTTTTAAATTTTCTATTTTGACAAACACAATATCGAATTGCCAATTATTTTTTTTTTTGTTTTGTTTCTCAATAACATAACTGTCCTCTTCGCCTTCTTCATATCACTAGCTCTAATTACTACGCATTAATTGCGATAAAAATGAAGCTAATTAGTGAAAAATGACCATCTTTTTTTGTTGAATAAGTAAAATTTGCATTGTCTCATCTTGATTGTATGTTCAAAATGCGATCACTTTTCAGTTAACGAGCAAATCAACAAACATGAGATTAAATATATATTACCTATCAAGTGATCAGTATCACTTAATGCGAAAGTCCTGCAGGAGATTCAGGATTGTCCCACATGACAACACAAACGGGATGTGGAATTATTTCACAGAATTTTAGTGAACGCACGATATTTTAACCTAGGTAAGATATTTTATACATTAGCGGCTAGCTTAAGAATAATGATGATGACTTTTACCATTGCAGTTTTGCAATTGCATAAATTTTTTCGAAGTAATAATACGAAAATATGATTTTTCTCGTTTCAAAAAAGCAGTTATTTTACAGTAATTAGTTTAATTTTTAATCGCAATTAAAAAGCTATGGCTTCAATTCAGTGGACTAATATGTAATTATTGTAGTAGTTGGTGTAAAATGAATTGATTAAATCATCTAGGATGAATTTTTAATAAATCATTATCATTTTCATGCTTTCGATATTTCTTTACTGATCAAAAAATAATTATCCTAAATTCTACCATTAATAAATATATAAATTATAGTGAAATCTTTTGTTTTTCGTCTGTTATTCAGTGTTCAATATTTTGAAACCATAAAATGATCAAAATAGCGGACATGATTTTGTTTGTTTCTTCGAATAATCATTCACTTTTTTTTTCTTCATGGTGCGTCATCTGTCTCAGTACATTTCTAAGCTTATTTTTCAGTCTCATCTGGTGCTTCATGAAATACTGTATAAACAAAAATGAGAACTAACAATCGACAGGAAATAACGAATCCTATGAAATAGACGTGTCGTCTATTTGTGTGTGTGATTATAGAATAGAAGAAAATTGATCTCATCATTATTATCATTATCATCAGTATTTATAATCAAGGTCATCATTTTATTTTCACATTGATTATCAACAATATTACTGTACAATATTTCTCATTTGATTTTTATATGGATAGTCGATGTAGTGTTCATTATATATTACAAAATCAAAAGTCTCATTTTCTATATCGATTATGCCTAATACAATACGATCCGATTCTTATTCAGAATCAGTTAAACAAGGAATTCATCCATTAACTACAATACCAATAACATCGAATAGACGAGCAAAAACAATTGATAATATTAATCGACGATCGATTTATTATCCATCTGTTAATGTATTATCTACAAGTACTAGATCTATTGGTCGATCAACGAGTATGTGATTATATATATTAAATAAAAAAAATAAATCATTGTTTCTTTCCATATGTTCAGGAAAAATTATAAAATATAAATCTATACTGAATTTCTCGTTGTTTTAATTATAAAATCTATAAATATTCATTTACTATTCTTTCATTTGTTGTGTATCTTTGTAATAAAAAATATATTATCATTATAATCTTCCCCCCGGATCCTAGAAAGAGCAAATTAGGTTAAAACACTTTATACTTGGATTGACATCAATAGAAAATTAATAAGAAAGTTCTTTGTCTTTGATAGGTTTTTTTTTTGATTATCCTGCTCGATTTTTATTAGTTCAATAAATATTTAGAGTTTCATTTATAGTGATGACTTCATCATCGACTTATCCAGATTTTCAAATACAACGACAAAGTGAAAAAACTAATCCTAAACTATTAAATCCTTCATTACATATAAAACCACCACGTGAAGTTTCTCTTCGTGTTAAATTTATTCGTCTTGGTGAAGTAAGTTTATATTCTTTTGTTATCTATTGTTTTATTATATCATTTGTTTTCTATTATTCAAAAAACACACAAAAAAAAAAAAAGGTAATTACATTAGAAGAAAAATTTTATGCTGAAGTTGTTATTGAAGCACGATGGTTATATGATCCTGAAGCAGCTTCATGGAATCCAAATCTTTATGTTAAAAATGCACTTGGTGATATTAAACAAGAAGTTGCTAGTGAATTAGTTGATCATTTAGATGAACCTATTTATACAGATAAGAAAAAATATGATACAATTTATGTATGGGAAATACGTAAAGTTGTTGGTACATTTTGGGAAAAACTTGAATTAAATAGTTTTCCAGCTGATGTACAACAACTTTCACTTCAAATTGTTACAAGACGTCCAATTGAAGAATGTATTTTAGTTGAAAATCGTTTTCAACCATCTATGGTTAATCGAGAAGCTTTTTTAGGTAATTTAAATAATGAAAAAAAAAAATTATTATATTAATCAATATAGAACAATTTTTTTTATATATTTAGCACAACAAGAATGGTTTCTCTATGAAAATATTGAAACACGTTCGACAATAACAATGGAAGATTTTAGTTTTCGACCTATTCGTCAATCAACATATATTGGTAGATTTCATTGAAGAAGTTCTTTTTTAATATTTGAGCAATTCCATTTATTATCGACATGATTTCACTAAATAAAAAAATACTCATATCGTCGGGTTCTGAAATTTCTTTTAGCTGATATTTATGTAACAGATATTCATTGAGTTACTCTAGATGTATTGAAAAACTCAACCGTTTAGATCCTTGTTTCGGCGAGTTATTATTGAAAAATCAGTATTAGCGATGTGATACAAAAAAGAACGAAGATTTTTTACTGCTCACGTTTCCATTTATACAAATATCACAAGTTCAAATAGTAGTTTTGAAAAATCAATAGTGCGTTTTGTAGAGAACTCTTTACATGAAAAAATCTCTATGAAAAGTTTTTCCTCAGAATATTTAGATTTTTCAAAAAATTGTGTCTATTCGTTGTTAGCTATGTGAATGAGTACGAATACTATCGAAACGAAAAATTCTCTTGTAATTGAATGAGAAATTCAAAACTAAGTCTAAATGGTACAAATTCCTTATTGGAGATTTCGAGATGATAATAAAACAAAACAAAAAAACTCATTCTAAATTATAAAGAATCAAAATCGGCTCACCGATGTTCATGTTACATTTTTGCTAATTTTGCCTATAAATATATTCTTAGTTTTTTTGTTTTAGTAACATGCTGTGTTGCACGTCGACCGGGTTATTTTTATTGGAATGTTTATTTACTTATTTTTCTTATTACATTAATTGCACTAACTGCGTATGGTGTTGCACCTGAATTTCCACAAAATCGTCTTCAGATTACATGTTTGTTTGTTTATTTAATTCTATTATTCAATGAAAAAATATTTTTTTTATTTTTGTTTATCTAGGTACACTTTTACTTACTTCAATTATGTTTCGTTGGTCGGTATCACGTCTTCTTCCACCTGTATCTTATTTAACATTATTAGATAAATATACACTTATATCATTAGTATTTATATCTCTTAATGCAATATGGCATTCAATAATTGGCTTTCTTATACGACGTATGGATATATCAAAAATAATTGATTATTATGTGCTTATTATATTTTCAATAGTTTTTCTTGTATATCATTGTATAATGATTTTTTCATTATATCATGCATTACGTCGTCGTCAAATAATGCTTGAAAGTGATCGTAAATATGCATCGAAATTAGCTGGTTTATTTGAAACATTTGTACAAGGTCATCATGCTGTACAACATTTTAAAGATAGACAAAATTCAAGTCATACATCTTTATTTGTTTAATAATATATTATTATCTTTTTTTTTTTTCTATGTAACACAAAAAAAAAATAAGTCACATCGAAATATATATATATATATATATATATTATTGTCGTTTATATATACATATAAGTTTATTATTTGTAGTTAAACATAAATAATATTCATTTAGACTAATTCAATGATTTAGAAGTTTGATTTTTGTTTCACATAAAATTTTAAATTATTTATTTTCAAAAATTGACTTTTTTTGTTTTTTTATATGTTTGAATTTGATGATTAAAAAAAAAAGAATTATCATTACTATCAACAATACATTCAAATAATTGATTAAATTTATTTTTGTTATTCTTTGAAAATACAGTTATTTTTGTTGGAATTTGGTCGAGAAGGATTTGGTAATAAGAAAATAATATGTAATTGTTGATTTTTAAGTGATTGTTCAAGATCAAGGCTAAGAATATTCATAGGAATTAAATACGTTGAAATATTTATTAAACAAAATGATTCAATATGTTCACTAACAGTCTATATTGATTTAGAAAATGCAAGTTGAATAGATAATTGTTCTTGTTTTTCTTGATATCTAATAATAAAAAGTTCTGAAGTCGTACCAACTAGAAGAACAGTATTATCTTTAGATAATAGACAAAAAAGTAAATCAGTTATATTAATAAGTAGACCATGATCACTATAAAGATTATAGACATGTGTAATTAGAATTTTAATTAATAAACATCGAGATGAATCAATATAATCAAGTTGTACAGCTGATTTGTTTTGTTTACGTAAAAAAGATTGAAGTCGATCGATATATGATCAACGAACGATATGATATGAACCAATGGCTAAAGTATATGGATTACTTGAATACTAAGTTAAATAATAGACTGATAAAGCCTAAGGATATGGGACAAAAAAAAAGATTTCAACATTATTAACAATAAAACTTTAAGAGAACGTTTAATCATAATAAACTATACCAGACTTATAAAAACTGTGCAAAACGCACGGATATCGCAAAAACTACAAAAAATAAAGAATTGGAAATGAATATTATACAGGTATCTACAATTATTTTTATTTTTATTTTTAGAAGATATTTTACAAATAAAGATCAAGGTAATCATGAATATCCTCATTTGTTTACAAGTATCCAAAATTATGAAATAATCTTTTCTTTTACTCTTCTATAGCAGTGTTCGATATGGATCAAATTTTTGTTGATTCTGATATCGATCACTTTTCTCTTTCTCTTGAGAAAATCAATTTCTCAATCTATTTTTGTTCTCTTTCATATTCTAATTGGAAACAAAGGATATGTCCTTGACATTTCATCGGTACTCTGCAGGAGGAATAACAAGGTTACGTTATAGAATTTTTTTTCTTTTTTGTTTTTATTTTCTTTATATATACAATCTCCGATGACTCATCATTTTATTCCAAATTTTGTATTCTTAAAAACTAATTTTTACACAATCTCTGCTGGAACCTGAAAACTATCATGTTTAGTTTTTCCGAAATCTTCTTCTGTTAATCAATCTATAAGATTTCAGTATGGAATGTATTTGATAGAGAACTTCATTGGCTATTCAAACCACTATTTGGATTTGAATAAGATGCTTGACATTGTAGAATATAATCAAAAATATGTTGATCTTATATTTTGATCAGTACTGTAATAAATCTTGTATGTAAATAGTTTTTTATACAATCCAACAGCTATTATAAGACGACAAGCTTGAAATTATTGTATTGATTCTGATGTCTTAATATAAAGAGTGTGTGGGTATGAGTGTTTATTGAAAGAATAACAATACACTCCTACCTACATCCACACCTTCAAATATTAGCATAGTCATTATATTATAGACTTTATCTAAAAGAATATTAGAATTAAATTCAAGATAGAGGTGTTATATGCATTATTATAGACGAGGCAATTTAGTATGTATTCATGCAATAAAACCTTTGATATTAAGTGTTTTAGAAAATTTAAAATGTCATGGCCAGAACTTTTGGTATGCTACTGTTGTTACCTAAATTAAAAGTAAAGTAAATATGTCATTCTTATTAATGATTCATATTATTCTTAAATTCACCTATTATTATCGTTTTCTTTATCTTCACAGAGGATGTTAGATGTTAAACATCGACAAAAAATATCGAACTAGTGAAATTTATCTTGTCTGATAATTAACAATGAAACAGAAGTTTATTCTAACAAGTTTAAAGCTAACCTACAAGTAAAATCATCATTAGCATAAGAATAAAATTACTCAACGTATATTAGAAGATCAAAGTATTATATACATGAATCTTTCAAGTCATCTATTAATATTATATATTATTGAATATCATTCGCTAAAGCTATACAAATGCTATACCGAAATGCAAAGAAAATGTGAAAAGTATGATAATTAATTAGCTTGAAAAATAATAAATGATGATTATAATTTTTTCACATTGAAATTAATTCATCTTTTGTACTAACACAGAAATTCAATATTCTGTCTTTTAATGTGCTAATATAAAACAACCCTAGTGTATGATAGAAAGGAAAGTATAACACAAAAAAAATTTCTATAACATAAATCGAAAATGTTGATAAACATCGTCAATATTTCAAATAGTAATAACACAACTAGCTGCTCCAATGACATAATCATCAGAATGAGCAGACAATGTAGTCCAAATACCCGTTTTAATATCATAGCTTTCCATTGATCTTACAATATGATTTCGTTTTGAATTGACACCATACAATACAAAAATACGATCATCTGTATATTAAAATATATACACAATTTTTAAATCAAATATTTAATAAATGAATCATACCAATAATTTCAGCACATAGATCATGACGTGCTTGTTTCATATAATCTAATGTTATCCATTTATCTTGATAAATATCATATTTATCCAAAAGATTAAGACTTAACATTGTTCGATTATTTGTTTCATTTTCATTATCATCATCATTATTCTTTTCAAATTCAGTACAACCACCGATAGCATATAATGCATATGAATTTGTAACTATCTGTCCATGACATCGAGCTATTGAAAGTGGCTGTTTTTTCAGCCAACTAATAGAAGAAAAAAGAATATTTTTGTTTTGCCATGGAGAAAAAAAAACAAACATTTTTTTCTCAGAATCGTAGACAGTGACATTTGATAATGTTGGTTTTGATTTTACATTACCATAACCACCAACAATAAAGAGTTTATTATGAAATGAACTTACAGAACAACCAAGACGAGATGATCGTAGACGTTTAGCAAGTTTCCATATATTAGTTTCTGGATCATAATATTCAACGGAATGAATTGGTCTAATAAAGTAATAAAATAATTCGAATCTAAGATAGATTCTTTTCTTACTTTCCATCTATTCCAAGTCCTCCTGCTACCCAAATTTTATTATTGAGTACTGCACATCCAAAATAGACACGTTGTTCTAACATTGATGGTATAGATTGCCATTTGTTTTGTTTAAATGTTACTAATGTTGATCGATCAATTGAATAAACCCAATTTGTTGATGCAATTTGTTCTTTTTCAAATGGATGTGACAATGAACCACCTGAATATTATAAACTACATTTCAGTGAGTGCTTTAAAAACTGCAAAAGAATAAAATCATTAATATTTGCACTTACCAAGCAAATAAATTCGATTATTAAACCATATTAGTTTATGATGATGTCGTTGATCAGGTAATCGTACAAATAATAACCATGCATCTTTTTCAATATTATAAACAAATAGCCCATTTTCTAATTATAATATTTTTTTTTTCTAGGAAGTTATTAATGAATGAATAATATGAAAACACTAACCAGCATTTTGATTAACTGTCATTGTTTTATCTAAATGAAAACCACCACCAATAATAAGTATTTTTGAAGATGAAAAGAAGAATGAATTTATAGTTGATAAATAAGTTTGATCTTCTGTATTAACAAGTGATTCAAGATGTATACATCTAGATTTTGATGATACGGATGAAAAAGTTTCAGATTGATTAATTGCAAGATAAACTGTAGAACTTGTTGTAGATGATAAGTACTAAAATGAAAATATTTATTACACTTTGATTTATTTTCATTTCATCATGATTATAAGAGAAAAATCGAAGATTAATTCTTGACTTCCTGGCATAAATCCAGTAGAGTTGGTGTTGAGTCAACTATAGAAATAGCTGATGCAGATACTGATTATCATTCTACTTTGATTAAATTTGAGCGCAATCATTTCACTGCAGAGATGTAGAATGGATCATAAATAACCTATTCGTTTACAATGACATAAAACTTGCATTTATTGTTAATTTAATTTTTTCTTTGCGTTTTTTTTTCTCAATTATGCTGATAGTCTGTCTGTATACATCTGGAAACCTACTTATCATGAATTATTTTTATTAAAAAATGAGTTATATCGGCGTATGATATATGGGTAGGAACTAGAGATGTGCAGGGTAGGGTTAGAAAATTTTTCTCAGGCTGAATACGAACAAAGTTTACGCTGTATATCTCTATTAGATACTTGCAAAAGCGACTATTTTTCTATTGAAATCATGTCGGTATCGTTAGTCTTTATTTTCTTTTTATAATATGGAACTATTATATTGATTCTCATGTAAAATCACTCATTCCTATTGTTAAAGTATGACCCAGATAGAAGATCATAACAAAAACTCTAGATTTTGTATCTTTTTAGCATAACGATCATGTTATTTATAAATTTATATCATAGAGAATTAATTCTTACTTTAGTCTGTACTAAGCTATCTTTTTGTCGTAGATTTTCTATTTGATTATTGTTTGTATCACTAATAAACATAAATTAATAGATATATCAAAACAAAACAAAAAAACAAACATAATCTTAAATTTACTTGAGTTTTTTTATTAACCATTGTTTAACAATTGGAATATGTAGTATTTCATAATTTATTGCTAAAATTTCTTTTAATGATAAATAAGTTAAATTTTTCCAACGAATTTTATTTAATAATTCAAAAATAACATCAGTATTTAATATATGATTACATGATAACCATTGTAATGTTCGATCTAATACATGAAATTCTTGTCGTTTTTCAATAGTTATATCTGAAAGAATTTGATTTAACATCCAATAAGTAATATCAATAAATTCTTCTGTTTGAATACATTCATCCATAGATTGAATAAGAAATTTATGTGCTAAATAATAAACTTTTGAAAGATCATGTTTATATGCTATATCTAATATTTGAAAAATTGTTCGTTTATTAATTTGAGAAAGATAAGTTATACATAAATCAATTACTTTTTGAATACCTAATTCTTTCGTACAAGTTAAAATATCATCAATATTACGTATTGTAAGTATTATTTTATCTGTATAGAGATAATTAAGAATAAGCTGTAAGGATTTATGTGTTGAATGACGAAGATGTACACGAGTAACAAAATCATTTTTACGTTTATTAAAAATTTGTCTAGATAAAAACTTTCATAATATTATACAATACAATATAATTATAGATTGTCGTATTATATATACATACAAAAATGTTTATTTTATTTCAACAAACTTGATCTACTATTGATATGTACATGTTAGACTAACCAAGTACTATCTGACGCTTTGATTTCTTTCTTTCGCCTCTTGTTATTTGAAGAAAACTGAAAACAGATCGTAACATATGTATAGGCTTCCTTTACGAAAAGGATACTTTCTAGGGTTTTATCCGACATGGGAGCTTAGGAGGCAGTATCGCTCCAGAAAAGAATACTTGGATAACACACTGATACTTTCTCTTCTTTTATAGTGTGTCCAGTTAAAGTATTATGAGGAAAATTATGTTTCAAGATCTCTAGAATTGAAGTATTTTCTCCGCTTACGTCATTTTCAAGCCAAATTTAACCAAGATTCAATTCTTTCTTGATCAATATTTATTAAAAACTAAGGAAGTGGATGTACCTTTTTGGAATAGTATTATTAAAACCGAAATCATATCATTAGAAGCACAAATGAAAAGGATTTGGTTTGACAACACTTGTAAACTCTGTTGTTCTGTAAGGAGTTTTTTGCGAAAACGTCCGCTTACAAGTGCAGTTTTAACTTATATCACAAATCATATAGTATGGTTAGAAAGTTCACATTGAGTTGTACTTGAAATATGTAAAAGTTAATAAGAAGCACAGCGTCTAGAAAAGCTTCGGAAGAAATTTTTGCAGCTGTTCAATGCAATACATCTATACTAGTAACAGAAAGTAAGAAAATATCTCATTTGTTTTTCTCAGTATCACTCTATCGACATTATTCTGATAACAACCATTTTCACTTTTATGCTGCGTCGTATAATTCAATGAATTTTTTCTAGACGCCGTGCTTCTTATTAACTTTTGCATGTTTCAAGTACAACTCTATGTGCTTTTTCTAATTATACTATAGGACTTGTGATATAAGATAAAATTGCATTTGTAAGAAAAAGTTTTTGCAAAATATTACTTAGAAAAAAAAAATTTTACAAATGTTGACACTTCTCTAGTTCATAATGAATATAGATTAAAAAAAGATTTATTTTTTGGTTAAATTTCACTTGAAAATCACGAAAGCAGAGGGAATGATTCAATTTCTGATAAAACTTTAACTGGAATAGAAAAGGTAGGAAAAAGTATTACAATTGAATGTCGCAAGTAAAGGTTCGATACATTATAAAAGAAGAGAAAGCGTCAGTGTTTTATCCAGATTTTCTCTTCCGGAGGATCAACCTAATCTTCGGAGAGGTGCCGACTCTATGCTGGATAAAACGCTAGAAAGTATCCTTATTGCTACGGAAACCTATAATTATGTTACATTCTGTTTTCAATTTTTTCCTTAAATACATATGTTTGTATGTATACATAATGCGAGGATCAATAATTATATTATATTCCATAGTAATTCATATTAATAAATCTTACTTAAATTTATGACTACATGCTGCTAGTACTAATCGATGTGCTAAATATTCACTACCTTGTACAATAAGTAATAAATCACAAAATTGTGAAGATTTCCACATTTGTTCAAGAATTTTTTTTGATAGAACATTTTTATTTAAATCAAAAAATTTTTTTATTAAATTTCTTTCAAATAAATAATAATTTTGTGCTAATTTAATTGTTGATAAAATATTTGATTTTTGATTTTTAACAAAATTTAAATGTTGATATATATTTAAAATATTTTTTGATTGAATTGAATAAAGAAATTTTTCTTTTAAATTAATAATACTATATGAAACACGAAAAGGTTGAAAATGTATATAAGATAATTGTTGTAAAGAATCAATAGAATAAGATAAATGATTAATATTTAAATTTAAATTTGTACTATTATTATTATTATTAATCATAACAAAATATAAGAAAAATCAATCTAAGCGCAAAAAATTTATCTTAATTGACGAAAAAAGAAAAATCTATTATATTCATTTGTATGCATTAAGTAAATCTTTTAATATAGGATCATTCATACAACTTTCAATAAATTTATATCTTATAATTCGTCCTCGTTCTTCATTATTATCTAATCTTATTATAAGATTATCAACTTTTTTTAATAAAACATTATAACTATATTTATAATTTATTCCTTTAGTATTATATAATGCTTCCATCATTTTAACTAATTTTAAACGATCTATATAACCTTCTTGATTAAAATCCAATAAAGAAAAAATAAATGAAAGTTTTTCAGTTAGATCACCTCGTCGAATAATACTTATAGCATGCATAAATTCCATAAAATCAATAATACCATCATTATTAAGATCATATATACGAAAAAAATTTTCTGTTAGACGAATTACATCACCATTAGGATGTAATTGATTGAAATAATCAATAAAAAGTGATTTATGAATATGAGCTGTAAGATATGAGGATTTATTACTATTTATACCACATTTTTTCATAAAAACATGATACCAATCAATAATTTCTGAACGATTAAATCGTGTTTTAAGAAGTTGTTCAATTTGTTCTTCATTTAATTGTTGTTGTGAACTATCAACAAATATTGAATCTTTCTTCTTATTATTATCAGTTATCGATGAAAGACGACAACCCATCAAATTGTTCTTAATTAGTAGAAGCGCCAAAAAGGAATTCCACAATTCAAAAAGCAGTTATTGATTTTTATACAGCATAAAATACGGAAGTAGTTTTTTGTTCTCAGTTTAAGATCGAATAGTTTGAAGATTAATATTTTTCTCATGACATAAAATGCAATTATAAATTAGCTTTAGTTGAATTGGAAATGACCGAAATAATTGAGCTATATCCAAACTAGTTAATTCAGAGTCTTCGAAAAGTCGTCTATCAAGAAAAAAAAAAGAAATTACTATGTCTTCATTTTATTTTGATCAAATAAATTAATATTTTTCGTAATAATCGAGAAAAGTTCAAAGTATTTTTATTTATGAACAAAAAATTACAATTTCTACCAAAGATAAAGGATAGATTTTGGGGTTGCAGTAATACGATTCGAATTCCTTATGTTGTTAATTTTTCTTTATTTGTAATTGTTGAGTTTTTGTTAGCCTATTTGACTCTCCCGATGATTCATAGGATCTTTTCTGATATAGAAAATCTTCGAAGAATCGAGATAACTATAATTAACTTTTGGTAGAATATTTTCATCGATAATAGTTAACCATGAAAATATAAAGATATCTAAAATCTATTTCTTATATCTTATTTTGTAGAGATGTTTTCAGTGATCACTTCCAGTAAAAAAAAATATCCTAGGATCAAAATATTCGAACACATCATATTTCTCGAATGCACTAGAGTCACTCTATGTTTTCCAGCGTATTGACCCCAAAGCTACGTATATTTTGTTGACGAAAATAGAACATCTTTTTTAAATCAAGATGATCAACAGAAAAAGTTCTAAAAAATGGAATATGCTAAAAAATTGTTGAATACTATTGTATTTTGACTACTGAAGAAAATCCCTAGCAAAAAACAGAGGTCAAAGTCTGTGTTGAACTACAGTCCTTTAGTCTCAAGTTCGGGTTGAGGAATGGTTTATGTAATCATTTCTCTTGAAACGAGTTTTTATTATTTGAACATCATACTTGGATGTTTGCTAAAGGTACTACAGATTATATACGTAATAGTATAATATTACTAACGAAACATGAAACTGAATTTATGAAAAGACTAAAAGAAAGTATGTGTACGAAAAAAGTGTGACGTAAGCTTTTTAAATTTATATATTTAACATAGATGATAATGAATTTATTCAGAAAATTTATATCTTTAATGTCTATCAAGCACTCTAATCATCAAGTCCAGAGGTGCTATTTCTGATATTTGTGTTTAATGAAAGCTATTCAATGTTATCATCTTCTTCTATATTGATATTAAAATCTATTTTGTTTTTGTCGACTCTTACGTAATTTTTTGTATTCTTAATATGATATATAAGTTCTTTTGACAAAAGATTAACACTAATAAGCTGTCTCAGCA